CCTTCCCTTCCCTTCCCTTCCCTTCCCTTCCCTTCCCTTCCCTTCCCTTCCCTTCCATCACTTCTTCTTCTCCCCTTCCCTCCTTTCTCCTCTCCTCTCCTCCCCTCCCCCTCTCCTGTTCCCACTCCCTCTCCCTTTCCTGAACATGCCATTTGACTAGAAACTGCCAGCACAGAATAGATTATAATCCTAAATTCCTGGTGTTAAAAGGATGGTAAACAGTAAAATACTATTTTTTTATGTGCTCATGCTTTTTATTGATGGAACAGAGGGAAGCAACTACAGCATTGCTCCTCTAAGTTCCTTTCATCATCCTTTCCTCTGTATCCAATGATTGTTTTGCGCAAACCTAATCCTCCATACATCGGATTAAGAAGATTGTGGTTCAGGAAAGCTTATTTCCTAATTTTAAAATGCCTTCAGAAACTTTGCTGCCTTTGTTGCAAGAAAATAACACTTCACCTTAGAAAGGAAAACTACTCACTGTTGTTCACTGTCTGTAAAATGCAGGTCCAGCTTGAGCTGAAAATCAGCTTCACTTAATGCTTCTTCCACCTGAGAACAATTTAAAAAAAACAAAACAAAACCTATTATTATAAGCTAATGTCTGAATCTACAGAAAAGAGAGAAAGGAGCGGAGCGGAGGGGAGGGGAGGGGAGGGGAGGGAGGAAAGAGCGAGGAAGGGAGGAGGAGATGGAAAAGCAGGGTGAGGAAGGGAAAGGAAGATTAATGTAGTTCTATCTACAAGGCATGGTCAAAAAAGTCAAGATGACAGCTGGAATGGGACAATCAAACTCTGTCTTTTCTTTATGTGTCACCCAGATGCCACACATAAAAACCAGTGGAACTTTGATTCCACCACTGCAGCTACCAACTCAACTTTTTTGAGCTGTAGATAGCTTGGAAAAGCCAACCTGAAGCCTGAGAGAGACCTATCCCTCTATTTCCCCTGGACAGATGAGATTCTTATCTACCTACTATGTATTAACATCTGGGCTAGGCTGCCACCAAGAAAACATAACCAATTGATAACCTGATGGACAGGGTGGATGGCCCAGACAGTCACAACCTACAGTCCATTGTCCTGTGAATGAAAGGTGGTCCAACCTCCCGGATTAGTGGAGGAGTGAAGGTCTTTGAAAACCACCAATCAGCTGTCCTTGCATAGAGCAAAGAATCACACAAAAGGACACTTGGATCTCTTGTAGTTTCTTCTTCAGATGGTGATTACAGCCAATTTGAGGAGGGGAGTCATATCAATCAGTGTTATAGCACTTGTGGAAAGGTTCTTCCATTTTTCCTGTTTTTCTTCATCTGAAGCCCTCTAGAGCTGCTCTCTGTCCTGCTGCCAAGTCTAAGCTTTCGTCTGCTGGAAACATTATTTTTAAAAAATGGTTTTATTATATTGTTATAAAACATTCAAAATTCAACCTCTGAGAAAAGAATATAGAAGAGGAGCAATTGGGAGACCACATTGCTAAAAGAGTCAACCATCTCAACAGTGCATGATCCTAATATATGGGTGCATTTCTTCCTCTCTCTCTCTCTCTCTCTCTCTCTCTCTCTCTCTCTCTCAGGTCATGCACGTTCTGCCATTCCTAAGCCAAGTTTAGTTCATCATGCCTGCCCTACTTTGAACCTGTTCAAAGTTGTCAAAAACCTTTAAAAAACATGGTGTTCAGAACTGGACATGGTGCTTGAGGTGGTACCTACCCAGTATAGAACAGGATGGAAGAATTACTGGCAGTGATTTGGAAACTATAGTTGCATTAATCTTTTTTGCAGCCATGTCACGCTGCCAGCTCATATTCAATTTGTGATCAACTATTCTCCAAAGATTGATTGATTGATTGATTGATTGACTGACTGACTGACTGACTGACTGACTGACTGACTGACAGACAGACAGACAGACAGACAGACAGACAGATAGATAGATAGATAGATAGATAGATAGATAGATAGATAGATAGATAGATGCCATCAGGAAGCTCTGTATCTCCCTCCTATACCTGTCCATTTGCATTTTGTTTCTTAAGTGAAGAATTCTGCACTTGTCTCTCGTGAAATTTCATTCTGTGATGTTTAGCCCATTTTTCTAACCTATCAAGATCATTTTGAGTTTTTATTTCTATATTCCAAGGTGCTAGCTATCTCACTCAATTTAGTTAGTCTGGTCAGTTAGCTGCACTTCCTATTTGTTGAAATCAACAGGACTTAAATTAAAACATTAAGTCCCATTAACTGTGGCAGGATTCTAAGCGCAGCTAACTTAACCTTCTGGACTTAATTCAGTGACATTCAGTCCAACATGATTATGTTCACAGCAATGTTCACTTCTCTACTGCAATCTTTTCTCTCTCCTTACCTTCCTACTGGCCTATCTACCTACAAGAAAGCAGGAGAAGAAAATTCCTTGTGAAAGGACTTCTGACTATCTGAGATAAGGACAATCAAACTGGTTCCAAATGTACTCCAAACCAACATGACAAGACATATATAACAAATCTGTGGAGCTTTTGGTGCTCTCATATTGATGATGTTCCCTAGTTGGATGATGAAACATTTGCAAGCAAACAACCAAGTTCAGAGAGCACCAAGGACTCCAGAGTTCAACCCTGAGCTACCCATATTCCCTTCGATTGGGATAACAAATCTGTAAACCTATACCCACACATGCATTTGCATTCATGCTCGTATGTGTCCAAGGGGGAGTCTTGTTAAAGAGAATCAAAACCATCTCACCCTCTCACCATCCAGGAGGAGATGAACTGTGAAGTTCATGGATTCATTAAGGAGAATCTCTTCATTCCGGTACAAGATCTGAAACACTTGGCTGAAGACGGTGTTCTCGTGGATGCTGGCTGAATGCAGAATCATGTCACCTTGAATCATTATCAGATAAAAGAGTGTTTGTTAGCCAGCTAAAATTAATGGGATTCATTTAGTTTGCATTCCATGAGCCCAGATTAATTTTGGCCTGTTATTTATTTCACCCTTCCTCATCTGATCCCTTATTTTGTGGCCTCTAACCTGGAAGGGGCAACCCTTCAAGTTAGCTGTTTTGAGACCCTCAAAGCCCCTTCCAGCTGAAATCTTGAAATGAGTGATATATTTTCCTACCATTTTCAGGCAGGAAACAGTAAACTAGTTCAGTGGGCTTGCCAAAAAGAAAGAAAAAAAGAAAGAAAGAAAGAAAGAAAGAAAGAAAGAAAGAAAGAAAGAAAGAA